GAGAGAGAGAGAGAGAGAGAGAGAGAGAGAGAGAGAGAGATTGTGCAGGGAGAATTGTGTGTCTGTTTTGAGGTTTTGTGCATCTGTGTGTATGATCGGTGTGTGTGTGTGTGTTTGTGTGTGGAATTTGGACACTCAAGTAACACTTACAATGTCTGAAAATCATTGCATTAGATACCAGTATTGAATGTATTTTTTTTTTAAACATTTCTCAGATGAATGCTGGATGTGTTTGATAACATAAACAATACATCTGTTGTTCAGAAATTAAAAGTATTTTGGAGTGAATCTCATGGTCATATTGTGCATCAAAATGTGAAAACAAATAATATATAATATGTTGCATAAATAAAAGAAACTTCTCAGTATCATAAAGTGTTCAGATGTTCTATTAATGCAGTTATTCTCAACAGTGATTTTCATCAGATTCTCATTACTGTAATACAGTATTTTTATTACTGTTAAATTACTGGAATACAGTGATGTATACTTTAAAAACTTCACTTAAAATCATTTGTTTGCTTTACAGTAATGAGAATGAGGAGGAATTAATTGTCTTAAAGGTAATATCACACAGCAAAAAAAATAAATAAATAAAAATATTGATCCTAAAAAGTATTTTTATTACATTTAATTTACAGGAATACAGTGATTTATGCTTTTTTTTTTTTTTTTTATAAATATTTTGCTTGCTGCAGCAATGAGAATGAGGAGGTATATATAACAAAGCCAAAAAAAGGTCTTAAAAAGATCTAATTTTATTTGTAATGATCGAAATATTCTTCTTCTTCTTCTAATATTATTATTATTTAATTATATATTGTAATTAATAAATGATAATAGAATAATATACATAATTAGTATAATGTAATTAATGTAATTTATGTTTAAAATTATTTTATTAATATGTATTTTTAATATTGGACCCACACTCATTGATATTTCATGTAATGGAATTGTAAGGTTGTTATTAAAGTTGTTCATAAATGGACCAAATCATATATTTTTTAATTATATTACATATATACTGTTATTTAATATAGAGGAAATTGACCATTAAATATCTGATGCATTTATATTACATTATAGCTTCATTTAAAAGCAACGAGATTCTATGAGATGCTCAGACAAACAAACCTGTGTGTGTGTGTTTCCCTCTTATCATTATGCTTTAATCTAATTTGCTTTGACACTCCTCTGTGTCCTTTGTGTCCTCCGTGTATTTGGATCACACAAGGTTACGTCTTTTATTCAAACACACACACAAATTTTTAGTAGGTTTGACTGTCAAGGGATCGGACCTGTATTAATGACTGAATTACTCTTATGCCCTGAGTGTCATTGAAAGTGTGTGTGACGGGGGTCTTTTTTGCCACTAATATAGTTATGATTCAATAAAATCCCTCTGCAATGTCATATTAAACTCTCTCTCTCTCTCTCTCTCTCTCTCTCTCTCTCTCACACACACTCACACACACACACACACACACACACACACACACACACACACATACATCTGCCTTCAAAACAATATTAAATTGGCGAACACAAGAGCATATGGTACTGTCAATAAACACACACCATAAAAGGACGCAAGGGCCAGCATTCGAGGAAGAGCTGTCAGTTTTGGTAAACAATATCCTGCTCCAAACACAGCACATTAATTCAGCTGTGACCCGCCAGAAGAGCCCGACTGGGTTGTAAATCACAGGTGTAGCGTCGGAACCGTGCCGAAAGATGATGTTTACAAACCTAAGTTTTCTGCACTTGCTTAAACATTTATTCCTGGGCAAGAGAAAAAACACAAAATGAGCTCTCAGAGCAGAAAGCAGTCACTAGAGGACAGCTTACGCATGCCACGGGAAATAAAGTCATTTAGGTCATCGTCAGCATTTCTTTTGAAACTTCTGAAACGCTGAAGTTTCAGGCTGCTGTAATGACGGAATCGTTTGGTATTTGCTGAAAGGGAATGGGAAAAATCAGAAGGGAAGTTATTTGGCATGAAATATTAGTTTGGCATGATGCTTATTAGTTTAGAAACTTGAGTCCAAACGGTTAGGAACTAACCTCTTGTGTCAAAGTAAAACGTTATATAAACTCACAGTTGTGAGTCCAATTCTGAGGAAGAAAGACTGACTTTTCTTACAACTGCGAGCTTATATCTCACAGTTCTTGCTTTATAATTCACAATTCCTTGTGATAGAGTCAAAATGATGAGATATAAACTCACAGTTTTGAGAAAATTTCTCAGAATTGCAAGATATGAAAAAAAAGCCAGAATTGCAAGAGAAATGTCAGAATTGTGAGATGAAAAGTCACAGTTACCTTCTTTATTTTTTTTATTCAGTAGTGGAAACAGGCTTCCATACTGAACTATGTTTATGCAGTGATTATCCATTTATTTCTTGCTATCCACTTTTTTTTTAGCATAGACCTGATGAAATGAAAATTTCCAACTTAAACTGTTGTAAATCTTAAATGCGTTGAATCACAAATTTAAGTTTAGTCTCTTTTTACAGAAGACACTTGGCAGATTATTGCTGAAGTGAAAAAAAGTTATTTTTATATTTGTAAAAATATGTTATAGGAAAAATACCTTTTCCAAAACATGTTTTATTCTAAAACTGCGAGGAAATCAAAATCATAAAACAAGTTAACCTTTTCAAATCATGTCCATATATATGGGTAGAAAAGAATTTTGAAAGAATTTTGTTGCTTTGCAGCCTGAAATGAAGACGAACACAGTTTTTGTTTTATCCAGCTGTATTTACTTAACTTAAACTTAACATTGGATGTTAACTTATAACATCCAAATGAAAGATATAACACCAACATGTCAGAAAAAAATAATGTTATATGTATATGTGTGTGTATATATATATATATATATATTCCACCTTTATTTGACCCTCTAACTCTAACACTTTCTATTCTATTTTAATTCTACATTATCTATATTTATCTTCTTTTTTAATTTTTATTTATTTATTTATTTTTTATAATTTATTTTATTTTAAAACAACAACAAAAAACAAACAAACACTAGCTTTCTATTTTTTCTATTCTATCTACTTGTTTTTCTTTGTGTGTGTGTGTG